AACAGTCATTATTAGTGAGGTTAATAAATTGCTGTTGACCAGATAAGCTTTTGACTTGTGAATTAAAAACTCTTGATGTATTTGCCCACTTCTAGATACAAGCTAACCAACTAGTTGCTGGTCATTGATTTGTACAGCTTGGATGGGAAGGCAGTGTTAAAATAAGGTTTATATGGAAATTGTAGAGCCCTGTTTTATATCATGTTATATATTATATAATAGAGTGTTGGGAAGTTATTTAATTCAACAGGTTTATGTCATGTGAGATTTATAAATGTTTGCATAGAAACTGAATCCCAGTGGTGACGTGTAGATAATCCAGAAAAGGATATTTTTAGGATATTTTGAAAACGTTTAGTATGAGATTTCAGATTCCATTTCAGGAATTAAGTGAATTTGAGAACATGCCAAGCTCTGTGCTGTAGTCTGGGTTACAACTGTAGTCTCAATAGAATCTAAACCCTGGTTTGTGAATTCTGTTAAAAAATTAAATATAGTATCACATAGACAGAAATAATCATCTTGTACCTGTTGAAATAAGTGATATTCATTCTTCCTCCACATTAGTGAAAAAAATTCAAGGAGGGGCATTTATAAGCAAAAAATTTACACACTGTAATGCTCCTTAGGCCTTTTTCTTTAGAAATTCTCATTTTAAAATTAATTTTCAAATAATGAGACACAACTGTAAGTTTGTTATATAATCAAAACTCTACATGAAAACAGGAAAAGTGTTAGAATACTATTATCTATGATAGCTATTATGTGTACTTATGGATTATTTAATCTAAAGTACCAGAAAGACTGCATAACTACTATATTAAAAAGAATAAAATTAGATATCTGTCTGAGTCAGTACCAGACAATTCCACATGGAAATAAACATTTAAGTACAAAACATAAGGTACTAGAAGAAAGTATGTGAAGTGAGTATTTATGGACTATTGGAATGGGAGTGACTTTCAAACATGATATCCAAGGCAGAAATCTTAAAGAAAAAGATTGATTTGGTTATATAAAATTATGAGGGGTAATAAAATTTAAAAACAAACTATAAAAGAGAAAAGAAGTTGAAATATATATGACAATAAATGTATGAGGTATTCTTATAAATAAGAAAAAAATCCATAGAAGAAATACAAATAGCCCCAAATTTATGACTGATTCAATCTTGTTAGTCAAAGAAGCATAACTAAAACAATGAGATAATATTGTCACTCATCAAATTGGCAAATATTTTCTTAAAAAGTTAATATTTGGAATATGGCATAGATATTGTAGGTGGAACAGAAATGGACAATTTGGCAATATATATCCACATTGTACCTATCTTTTGAATCAGCATTTCTATTTATAGGAATTTATGAGTAGGAAATAATAGAAAACATGAACAAAGATTCATTTACAAAGAAATTTACTTGTGTCATTTGTAATGGTAAACTATTAGAAGCAATCTAATTTTCAACAATTAAGATAATAAGATTTCAGTGTTTTTTATTACTTTTATATAAAATACATAATTTCAAAATGATTTAGAATATGAAAAACACCTCAGTTAGGCTTGTAGTAAAGTACTAAATATTGATTTATTTATGCTGTGCCTCAATTTTCTCAGTGGTAAATTGTGGATAATAATAGTAACTACTTGTAGGAGTGTTGGGACAATTACATGAGTTAATATATGAAAAACACTTAGAATAATGCCTGGCTCATAGTAAGTGATACATGATCTTTGCTGTTATTTTTATTAATTCACAAAATACTCCTGAAATATGAGATAACATGGAAGATCATAGCTCATTGTATGTATGTTATGTTGTAGTTGGGTGCTGTCAAGTCGATTTCGATTCATAGCGACCCCATGTGATAGAGTAGAATCGCCCTATAGGGTTTTCTTGGCTGCAATCTTTTTGGAAGCAGATTGCCAAGTCTTTCTCCCACAGAGCTACTGGGTGGGTTCAAACTGCCAACTTTTCGGTTAGCAACCAAGCACT